CAGATTTAAAATCTAGACTTTAACAATGAGGTTATCAATTATTTATTTTCCTTCTTATTTTCTTATCAACACACTAACGAAACAAAAATAACCAATAAGTTTCTATAACACACCGTATAAAGTGGAAAGAATGAGATAATAACTATATAATGACTATATCTTTAATGTCTATAATATTGCCATGACTTCCTGTTTCAGATGTCACTATGCACTCATTCCCAAACCCTGAAGTTTCCTGAATGTTTCAAAGCTTGGGTTACATTGGTTGGTGGAAAACGGGAAACAAAAAGAAAAAGTTTGCGATATTCATTTTATAGACAGACATACAAGTCCTTTTAGACGTTTGAATGCTTTGGCTGTCCCATCAGTGCATTAACAGGGTATGTATGTTTATTTTGAAATACAGTAAAAGTTTAGAAATCGCTTAGGCACAAATCTTGGGAATAACATAAAAATGTGTAATGAAACAAACATTATGAAACAATGGGAATAAAAAAAGGATGGGCTATGTTTTGACAAACTCCATATAGGTGCAGATGTGCTTGTGTGTCATGTGAACATTAATTAGTATGGCCCCGATTGACAGATTTAAAATCTAGACGGCAATACCTGAAAGCGGTTGGCTTATTTAATATATGTCACAGTGAGTATGACTGTACTGAATTAATAAATAAAATTAATTATTTAGTACCTAAGCGGGCGCAAACGAGCTCCCTGCGTAAACACTAACTGTTTGCTATATTTAAATTTTGTACAAATACAGGCAAGAGATCTCCAGTGCATTGAGTAGCAAAATTTTATAACAATGGTTTACATGAAATCGACATATTCAATTTAAACAAAACAAAATTCAAAGAGTTAGTTAAGAAAGAATAAGTGAACTAAATTGCAATGCCATATCATCATAAAGTAATATATATTATCATATTTGTAACAGTTTTGTTTGTGTAGTGTTCATTTTTCTTAGTAAGTGTTTAAGCTGATAACATATGCAACTTTCAACTACTCATAGTAACTTGTAGTTAACGTTGCTTTTGCAATTATAAAACTGTGTACATCATATCATAAATTGGAATGCTATTGTAAAACTGTTTGTTGACCCAAATAAACAAAACAAAAAAAAAACTCCAAATCTATGTTGGCTTAGTAATAGTAACAGGACAAATTATAATATTACTAAATTCTATACATACACTTTCCTAAAAGTCACGAGCACAGCTAGATTTGTAATGATTCAATTTAATATATTGATCAATCACATGATGTTTTCTAATTTCTACTGTATATAAAAATTACCACCAATAACCATTACATATCCAACCAACCAGTGACATGTATAGTTATTGTTTTAGTAAAACTCAAAAGAGTATTTTTATAATTTCCAGGTTCAAGGGGAATTCTTGAGGAGCTCCCAGTTGCTCCTAATGAAGAAAATAGTCAATTGTCAAGAAGTTCAGGTAAATTTAACTTGGAACTATAAATTTGAATTAAATTTAAAATAAAGATTTTAATAATCTATTTTTTATGGAAGAAATTACATAATTGTTCATTTTTATTACAGGTTTGTTTCCAACAATGACAGAGGAAAGTTTGTATTCTTCAAAGTATGGCAACCAATCTCATGATAAATTGCAATCTTCCCAAATGTCCTCTTCAGGTAAATAAATAATTATTAATACACACTAGTATACTGGGTATGCTTAATTATTATAATAACTTTTTATATAATTTCATATCAATAATTTTATTATTATAAAATGTACATTTGAAATAATGACTATTGACATTTACTGACTGACATTAACAAGACATTTAATTAGCTCAGTGTGATCTTATATTAGGTGGAGGTGAATGAATATATAAATAAATAAATATTTAACAACATCACATACATTGCTCAGATTCCAAGATGAGTAGCTAAAGCCCCCGTATTATGGAGTATCTGAGACAACGAAGGTACCACAACACCCAGACCCGAGTCAATAAAGAAAAGTTCATTTTCTACATTGACCCGACCGGGAAACGAACCCGGGACCTCAGAGATGGCGACACCTTGAAACCGGCGTGCGAACCACTCGCCTACGGAGGTCGAATTTTGTTTAAAATAAGACTTGTATTAAGTAATATTCATTTTTTTTTATATCAACATATATAATATTCAAGACGCCTAAAAACAATTCATTTAGCACTTATATAAAGTTCACCTGTTTTAATTTTTGTTAATATAACCATCATTCTATATATCACTCAAATAAAGTTTTTTTTCTCATTAAGTTTAATTTGTATACCAAGTAATTAATATAACCATTATTTTATATATTTAGCAATGTTTAATTACAATTTTATTATAATCTCTAAAAATTGATACAAAGATTATAATCTAATTTATGAAGATTATATAGTTATACAACTAAAGACTACAAGTTATACTACTAAACATATATATAGTCAGTAGTTTTCTGTGGAAAATGTAAGAGCGAGAAAAAATTACTAAATAGAAGTAGATACTACAATCATTTCTGATATAAATAATTGATTTCGTTCTCAAATACTAGTTGAAGACATAGATTATTTTTTGGTATTAATAATATAGATATATCTTTAATTTTCAGTTGACTCTCAGTACATCCCTTATGTAGAAGATATCATCAGGGAACATAACTATAGTTCGTGTAGCAGATCTAAAAGAACGCACCTCCACAAGGTATTTAATTTAAACAGTTATAGTAAATAATTTTAAAAACTATTATCATGGACCTTTATTATAAACAGTACACAAAAGGTTTCTTTTTTATTTTACAGTTGCTGATTATATTACCAAAAAGTTTATGCGGCAGATAAATGCTATGGAGAATTAAGATTATTAAATAAACTAACGGAGGAACACATTGATCCTGAAAAAAATAATAAAATGAGAGTGAAATTAGCAACACAAGTATTCAGTCACAGTATTGCTGTAGTTGCTGAGCACCTTACGGCGCGAGGAGATTTGCAAGAAGAGTGTCGTCAACTGGTGAACATAACATTATTAATTGATGATTTATTTGACAGTCTAAATATCAACACGCTAAACATTCCCAATGGAAAAATTTATAAAGGTCCGGTAAAGCGAATCTCACCCATCACGAGTTATGGACTAGAGCAAAAAAAATTTTGCATAGTGTAAAATTCATAAAAAAAAAACAAAATATTGCTGGTCAAGTCATTGCAACAGAAAGTGTAATTCCTTCATCCAAAAATTTTATAAAAACAATTGAAAACATGGAGGCAATTTGGAAGGTTTTGTATCAAAACTATAGGTTAGATTGTTTGTTGACTAACAATTTAAATCAAGACCCCATTGAAAACTTCTTTGGGAATATCAGGAGTTAGAAACATAGCTCCTAACACTGTTGGATTTGAAGGAGCGTATAAATCATTGCTATTAAATATTTCAACACGCCTCATTCACTCAAAATAAACTGTGAGGCAGATTATAATCAATGTCTACAAAACATAATTTTTTTAACAGGAAATTTAAAAAACTACTGATATTCCCAAAAATGATAGTGAAATATTTATTAATTAAAATATTATAATGGGCTCTAATGAGAATAGTGACGCCGGTCAAATTAACTATGTATGTGGATGGGCATTAAGAAAATATTTGAAAAAGGCGAAATGCAATGCATGCAGCAATATATCGCAAGATAAAAATGGAGAGAACCTACATAATACATTTATAAAATCAAAAGAATATAAAAATTGGTTATGTTATCCAAGTACTCTACTAGAAAATTGCTTCCGTGATATGCAAAATATTACTCACATAACGTTAAATTTTTTTTTTACCAAAAGTAATATATCAGGAAATATACTTTGTTGTAAAATTATTTGTAACTGCCTCCTGTGTGTTCTTGTTCTTATCACACTGATTGTTTTTATTAACATTTTGTTAAAACAACTGTACATTTAATTATTTATAATTGGTGCAAGTCAGTAAATAGAATTTTGAGTGGAAGAATTAATTACCAGGGTGATGACGAGACCAAATTGACAGCGCAAGTATATTATAATAAGAGGAAACAATACAAAAACAGAAAATAATAAAATGTATACTTGTATTTTTTATGAATGACTATGCTGATCATGTGCTGTATGCATTTGTTTAACTTATCGAAATAAACAACTTATAATAAGTGAACAATGTCGTTTCTTTTTCAAGTTTTTGTCCTCTTTTTGTTATCGTCGCTCGAAAAATACAAACTGTAAAAACCATAGTAAAACTTTTAAAAGAAAGTTGTTCATTATGCTCAATTTTCTTTTAAAAGTTTTACTACAGTCTTTACAGTTTGTATTTTTCGAGTGGCGCGAAGAAAGAATCCTATAACTATAATACATACCTACTATAGGTATACCTATATAGCAATAGTTTTTGGGGAAGTAATGCAGATGGCGCTTCAATTCTGATTGGCACTAAATACACGCGAGAGGGCACTCTTTTTCCGTATTATTACTGTACTCTTTGGTAGACGGCTTGTAGTTTTAGTCTGTATTTAGCTGAATGTCCTGCTATTCCCAAATAGCAAACTAAAATCAACAAAATTATTATTTTTCTTTAATTTTAGATGGCATGGGGATTAATTGCATTCAGCAACCGTGTCGAAGTTATCCTAGCTGCTTTATTTGTAGCAGGGATTAGTGGTTCAATATTCCTGGTAATCCCAGTCTATGTCAGCGAATTTTGCAATGAGTCAATAAGAGGAACTTTGACAGCTGGTGCCCTGGTCTTCCTCCGTCTGGGAATACTTGTTTCATACATTACCGGAGGTCTTCTCAGTTACAATACCATGGTGTATGTATGTCTGACTTTATCTGTGATTTCACTGATGATATTGATGGTCTTGAAGGAATCACCAACGTTGTTATTGAAAAAAGGAATGGAAGCAGTGAGTTTCTCAACAAAAGTATTATTAGTTATTTTTTTGCAATGTAAATAAATAAATCCTTTTAATTGACAGGAAGCAAGGAAATCTATCGAGTTTTATACCAATTCAAAACCCGATTCTAAAGAAGTATTACAAGAGATAATAAAGATTAAAAGAGCATTATATCCTGAAGAATGTGGTAATGTAAAGCATTATAATCACTCTTATAATAAATAGTCCAATTATTTTTATACCCTCTCTAAGACTTCACTTAGTTTAAAGGGTTCCTCAGGAAAAATATTGAATCCTTTGTTATCCGTCTATCTGCCAGAACCCTTAAATCTTTACTACCTACTACAATTTGTATGGAATCCTCGACGGAGAGTTGATCATTATTATTAAAATATTTTTCTTTTACATACTTCTTATCCATCGTCATCATCAGATGACCTTCCCTATGGATGTAAATAGATAGGGACAACTCGCTATCATAACCCACCACGCAGACTCATGAGGATTCCCGATGTAAACGACTGCAGATGCAGCTGGGACCATCCTGCTTTCGAAGCACGGTAGAACCCAAATAATAAAATTTTGGTTACCTATCTTGGGACCGGCAACCAAACGCATAAACTACTTTTCTATCGAGCTCCTTTTTTATTAAATACTTGAAAATTAAAAGAATCAATAGTAACATTATGATAAAACTACAGAAACACGAAATCCTGAAGAAGAAATGTTAACATCTGCAATTCCTAAGGCTTCTGTGGAAAAACTAAACTTTTTTCAATTTTTCAGTAAGTTTATCCTATATTTTTCTTAATTTTACAAGTTACAGATATATACTTTAAATAATTTAAACTAACTTTTAAAAATAGTAAGTTATCATAAATATGGGAGAATTGAGAATGAGTGATGCCCCGGACCCTATGTACCAAAAATACTCTTCGGCAATAGTTGCATAGAAGAAATCTATTCTGAATTTCGTAAAAATCTCTGATGCCATATCGAAGCAAGGCAGCCTAAACACCAGCTTAAATGCATTATTTTATTCCACTTTCAAAGCACTGCTGTGTAAGAATTTTAAGTCTAGTCCACAACGTGTAGCTGTACTCCACTTTTTGAGTACAGCTACACGTGTATGGATATTTACAGAAAGCTCTAAATAAGGTGATTTTATCACCCTGTACATCACATGAACAGGGTGCAAACATATAAGCCAACGTGTTTGTTTTCACTTTATATTTTTTAGGAAAATCCAAGTCTACGCAGCGTGGTTTCATTCTCTCTATGACTTTTATGACGATTAACGTTTTCCAAGGCATGGCAGTAGTTTTAGTATACTCAAATCCACTCTTTAAAGAAGCAATACCAGAAGAGATCCTATCAGTTGCAACCTGCAGTATTATATTAGCCATAGTATGTGTGGTATTTGGAATGATAGCATCCTATGTGATCGACCGGAATGGAAGACGGGTAAGGACACGCATATTGGATACAAAAATAAGTTATTTAAAAAACTAGCGTGTCTAAACCGTAGTAATAACAAAATTTGTGTTTTAAGCTTAACATTTCCTATACCTCTAATTCATTAGGGTCAAATAGAATTTCCAAGCAGAGAGTTACCATAATCAAAATAAATTCGAACCACTAAATAGGTCACAAAAATGCCAATAACATGGGCGGGATGTTATTGGCATTTTATGTGACCTATTTAAGGCTATCGATTGTGTGAGTCAGTCAATATCGTAAAAAAATAAGCAATATGGTGTCTTTAATTTGTCTGTTGACGTAATAAGATTATATCTATTGAGAATAAAGCAAAAATTTGCTTTTTAATAGGTTATGTTTTCGGTTTTCTCATTGTTTTTATTTTTCCCTCATTTTGTGTACCACAGGGGCATATAAGTTCCATAGTCATTTTATGACAACTATACTAACAAGTTATGTGACATTGTTCTATTCGATGATGATACTTCGCTGATCGATGAGCGTGTTATTTCTCTGTGAAAATAACACGCTTACAACCTATATAACTTATCTGTACTTTAAGATCCCTGACTGATTTAAGTGAACCTACTTAGAATATAAAAAATAGATACTTCATATTCGTTTAATCTTCCAGCCGCTGATGATCATCTCCTCAGTAATAGTTGGTTTGTGCCATGTAGCTTTGGGTACACAAATCCATCTACGTTGGGGTCCTCCGTGGTTTACTGCGATATATGTTTATTTGCTCGCCGCATCGTACCACTGCGGCGCCGGAACTGTACCGTATGTTTTCACATCTGAAGTATTTCTGCCAGAGGTAAAGATGGAAATTGATTCAAATATTTTGACTGTTCTGTTAAATCTAAGTCTTTTTAGACTATATCTTCTGAAAGCTTATAATTTTATAATATAAACGAATAAAGTCGATGGCTGGTAAATGTCAAAATATTGTGAAATTATTATTACTTATATTTTTAATTACACTAAATTATACGACAATATATTCAATACTATAATGCTTTTTAATACAAAGTTGGGAGAGAAATACGCCTGTAAAATAAAAGAAGTGAAATTACGAAAAATTTTTGCATCCACATTATCACAAAAGTCTTCGGCCAGTGTATGTTACCAGTGATAACTTGCGCAAGCGAGACGTATTCGTTCACTATTTAGTCCCATAAGAAGGCTCTATGGCCGTTGGGGTGGAAAGGTTTTGGAAAGACGATCACGTACCGGACGACACTCAGTGGGGAGGCCTTCCATCAGATGGACCAATGATCTTATGAAGGTTTCTGGAAGCCATTGCAGCGCAGGACCGATCTTTGTGAAGATCTATGAGGGAGACCTATACTTAGCAGTGAGCCTCGTACGGCTGTTGATAAAAGTTCTTAAAAACGCATTGTTTAAGGTTTTGCGATGCTTGTAGAGCTTTAATAGGAGAACAAACTTAACTCAAATCGATTAAAAAAGAAATAATTTAGTAATTTTTAATTAAGTTTATAGAAATGTAAAACAGAATTGGCAACAATATTTGTTTAAAAATGATTGTACTTTTTTCAGGTGAAAAGTATCTTAGCTATGCTTGTGTTCGAATGGGTATGGTTCTGTAACTTTATTTTACTATTTATATTTACCCCTTTGGTCGCTGCCATTGGGCTGGGTCCTATCTTCTACATATTTGCCGCTATCTGCTTCTGCTCAACAATAATCAGTGTGATATTCTTACCTGAAACAAAAGGATTAACAGTAGATGCTATACAGTTATTGCTTGTAAAACAGAAGAGAAATAATGTGACTTGATTAAATACTTTTTTTAAGATTGCTTCTTATTTAAAAATAGTTACCCAATTATTATATTTTGATTAATTTCGCCCGCATTGCGAAAGGTCGTGGGTTCGATTCCCATCTCAGGGTGCCAGGGACTAAGTAGATTTTTTAAGCATTTTGTATTAAGAATAATAAGTTACCCAAGGTTTTATTACGATAACTCTTCTCTATGAAGACTTCGCTATGATTGTTTGATATTCAGTAAACAAGTCTTTAAACGCAATGTAGTGCGAATAAAGTTTTTTATTTAACGTAATTTTAACGTATTCAGTTCCGGCTGCATTTCCAGTCGTTAACACCCACTAACCCTCCTGAATCCATGTGGAGAGTTATGACCCATTCTCCCTATTTGTATCAACGGGAAGCCCCGGTCTCTGCAATGAGTACATTAAACGGCAGATAACGATGATAATTACAAATAGTTGGCTATTACTTGGTAATTATATTTATTTTAAGCTTTCATAACCAACACGTAAGTATCTAAAATTTATAACGCTTGAATATCATAATCATTTTAATATTTAGGCGTAACATCTACCGTTAAAAGTTATAAATAGTTCTCTTCTGAAGAACCTACCTCTGAAATAGCTAAAAACCGGAGGATGCAAAAAAAGAAACAATTTTTATTTTAAACTATTTAATATAATTAAAATACGTGACAATTGTTCGATGGTTATAACAAAAGTACCGCTTGACCTAAGTCGCCGCCGCATCGTCCGGTGTCTGATGCACGTTCCGCAGCGTCAGCGCCTCGTGACTGTTCATAGTTCGTTTTCGTAATTTGAGTAATCGCTACTTTGCAGTATTTGGCAATATGTAAAAAGTTCTGTAGCATATTCTGTGTTTTGTTTTTAAAATGGCATATCACCTACAAATTTTATATAACATCATACGTATGTAGATTATTACAGAACTTTATCTAAAAAATTAGTGTGGAGCTTAAATTATGTTACAAGAATTCACTAATGAAGTATGTTATGTTTATTACTTCAAAATTTATATAAGAGACATAGGAGAATTAGTAAAATAAATATTATGTATGATTATTTATACTTGTAATAGTTAAAATATATATATTCATGATAACTTAGTCAATAGAGGATCGATTTTGATGTTTAATCTCGAGGTCCCATAAAATTCGTGATGATTGGATCAGTAGTTCCTTTTACACAGATTTATACCCGAAATACATTTGGTTGTCTTTAAAAAACTACAACCACCTTCAAAAAATCAAAGAACAGCAACAACAATTCGTCGCCCGATTTCATGTAAAGTGTGAATTGTGGTTATTGTATTTGTGGTAATTGTTGAAGTCGGTTGTAGATTATTTTATTATTATGATGGTTATCATCATAATTATTAGTGATAAAAATTAAGATTTTTCAATAGTTGCAACAACAATATATTTTAAGGGTGACATGCACAATTATTCAAGGAGTTGGTAGTGATTTTCCAAAAGCATTATTGTTTTAACAGATTTCAAAATAAAAACGAGGGGGTGCTATTTCGACGATATTTTCATTGTCAAGTAACACACACAGTGCGATTAAACAAGATCTCAGTCATTCAACTTACACAACAACTTACAATACAAATCCTTTCAGACCAGTGGTGTCAAATAATTTAAATAACAGTAAAACAATAATGTTTTCTGGCAGACTAGGACAGGGAATGGGGTTAACAATTAAAAGTAAGTATGACTAAAGCCTTTTAAACATATATACTCCAGGCCAATCGCTAAATATCATTTTTTATAAAATAAAACCTCAAGAATTGGCTAGATTCACTTACATTATTATTTTATGTAGTGACAGAACTTTAAGACATTTTAATGAATATTAAAAAGTTGCTAAATTCAATCGACAACAAATTTTAAATATATAAATTAAATTTAAATATGGATAATTTGATATCTCATCATAGTGATGATATTTTATATTTTGACATTAACAAATATATCAGTAAATTTAAGTTGACAATAGATACTATGTACCTAGCAAAGTTAATATAGGACTCGGATAGCTACTCTGTTAGCTTTCAATTTACTAAATTCTGTTATAGTTGATATAACAAAGTCTACCTACTGTATCAGTTATTCACAAAAATATTCAGGGTTTGACTGGCAAAGATTTAGAATTAGAATTATTTGCAAAAGAACACGGTGTTCACATATATAGTTTACCGGAGCAGTGGCTAAGGCTTCGTGAATGGTCATTTTAATAAATAAATAATCAAATACTTAGTTCATGTACACAAGGGAGAGCCCAGCGGGGAGGATCATTAATATTTGCAAATAATGATTTCAATTTTAAGGAGCCTAAAGATATAGTTTATCTCTCAGTAGAACGTCATATTGAGCTATCCTGTGTCGAGCTAAATAGTATAATTGTAATATACTGACCGCCTGATAGTGACTATGAAACTTATGAAATTTGAAATTACAGACAAAAAACGAATATTTGGTTATATGTGGTGATTTTAACGTAGATCTTCTAGTGAACAGTACAGCATCCGTTCGTTTGCTATCATTATTTAAATGCTTCAATCTATTTAATCAATAACTAGAGTAACGGCACATTGAGACACTTGTTTGGATAATATATATTCTGATTATGATCTAATTAATAAAGTAGTATTAAATAGATATAAACAGTACGAGATCATCTGGTTCATAAGTAAAAATGGGGGTTCCTCAGGGATCTATCCTGGGTCCCTTTCTGTTTCTAACATACATAAATGATTTGTTATTCTATGTCGAAACTATATGCGATATAGTATTGTTTGTAGATGATAATTCTTATATATTTAATATTGATCGATGTAAAAATTACTTTGGCGATGTAAACAATGCTCTCTCACAGATTATGACCTGGTTTACTGTAAATAATCACCAGTTTAATGCTAAAAAACGAAATGTATAAAGTTTATATTACCTAATATTAAAGCTGAACTAACAGAAATTAAACTTAAATATGAAAAGCTCGCGTTGGTTGATTTGACAATCTTGGGTGTAACGCTGGATTCTAAATGACAATGGCATCCTCACATTTCATTATTGGCAGGGAAACTAAGTGCAGCTTTTACAAGAAAAATTAGGCAACTCACAGATGTAGATACTGCTAGGACAGTGTACTTTAGTTATTTCTCATGTGGGGTATGGCTCCAGATAGTCTGTATTTTTTTTACAAAAAAGAGCAGTAATAGATTCAAAGAAATAAATTCAAATAAATTGGGACATTAATACACAATTATATACTTTATGTTAGAAACATTAATATCAATTATATTAAACATAGTCATGTAGACAATTTTAACACTAGAAACAAAAATAAACTTGCTTTGCCGTCATTCAGGCTAAAGAAGGGTCAAGTTATACACTACTATAACAAAATTACTATGTAAATTTTTTAATAGTTTATTCGGTAAAGGATATTATACTGATGATGAATATTTAAACGACAAAACTGCTTGGTGTTAAATATGGCTTATTTTGATGTATATTAAATTATTTATCGGTGAGCTTGTTTGATTAGACATGTGATTCGATTGACGAAAATACTGTTTTCCCTGTATGAAATAAAACGGGGAGAAAAAAGCAGCCCTTGCCGAGGTTCTTGCCGGTTATTCTTGGTAAAAGGTCACCCACCGTAGATTTACGAACCGATGGCGTAGCTCTTGACTTTCACAAGTGCTAAGAGATAATGAGTAAATAATTTTGATCTGATATGATTTGACAGGATATATATATTATTTTTTATATGTTTACCAAATTGGAAACCACAGAACTGGATAAGTAATTTTGTTTATATTGGATAGGTAGAACTATTTGTCTAATGGCATTCATATTCTTTGATATTTATAGCAATGCAACGGGAAAGTTTAATTTATGCAGGCCAATTCCGCTTATTTCAATACTAGGTATTGAATTGTATCTTAATAGAATCCCAACGACTTCCATTTTACCATTGTACCATCTACCTAAAGTTCAATATGATTAGTGCAATGTCAATGGTGACATTGCTTTTGCTTGCACAGCGGTTACGGCGGCATCACCAGCCTATTAATGTTGGGGTCCAGGCTATCCCCATGGATGGAACCGAATCAAATCGAATAGGGAGAATGGGCCATGAACCATCACACGGGCTGTGCTGATTGGTAGGTGTTAACGACTGCAGATGTAGCCGGGACTAACGGCTTAACGTACCTTTCGAAGCATGGAGGAGCTATGTGTAATAAATTTTTGGTCACCCACCCTATGA